AACTATTCAGAAAAGCTGTGAGGTTCTTAAACAGTGAAATGATGAATTTCGTGACCCTACCATTACTTTTTGAAAATCTAAATGTAAAAGAAAGAAGGAAATGCTGAAAGTTTGACAAAGATGAACAAAGGAGAGCAAGAAAAGCTTGATGGGAAATAAAATGTATGCAGGTGTACCTGGACAAGTTAGCTGGCAGAGATATGGTAGAGAGGGGCACTGACATCTTGAGCTCTCTGCCGTCTTATTCAGCACTTCAAACTGCATTGCTAAACAATTTCAGGGTTGAATCAGACCAGTTTTTGATTTCATTTCGGGGCATGCAAACAAAGAAGGCGATGTAAAGCAATGAATTACTGCACAAATACAAGTCTTGCATTCAAAATCTTATTTAGGTAAAAGTACAGAAGTAATAACAGCTAAATTAACTTAAAATATTAAAAGCAAAAAACACTATTATAAAAATGATCGTGCAGAAAACTGGCCCCTTTGAGTTTTCTATGATGTATGACATTAATGGACCATTGGCAAAGTAACTAATAGCTGTGGTTGTCAGCATTAAATATTAAAAGTGGATTGTATACTTAAGTACAGTACTTGAGTGGATGTACCTATGCAGACAACACCATTTAGATTGGTAATTCTGCTTTGTTAAATGTCAAAATATCTATTCAACACATTGCATAATGCAAACATACTAAGTTTGAAGTGTCAAAAAGTACATAGGATTAAAAAAACAGATGAAAAGCCCTAAAACCAAAATTGCAGAGTGTTAGAACTTCATTAATTTGGGCACAATAGATGGAGAGGTCCAATAGACACCTGCATTCTCTTCCCGCCAGTTTGCTAATGAAAAGTCCCTATAGGGCACCCAGCTGTGACCTCTGACCCAAGACACTATAATTAGGTTATATTCAGAGCTGCTGAATGCAAAAAGTGGATTGCTAATGTGTGTCGTGCTATAAATAAAACGAGCATCTTCAAAGCACTTTTAAAAGACGATTTTGTCTCACAGAGACACAAACACAGATGACAATGATGAATGAGATTAAACAAGTACAATAAACTACAACAAGAATATGTGTGTCGGAGAGAGACAGAAAGGGGAGAGAGATGTGTGAGAGATAGATGGAGACAATGGAAAATGAATAAACTGAGACGTGATACATGCTGGTACCAAAAAGAATATCTTGTGATTTGTTTCAATCTGATTGAATCTTGGGATAATTCATCTGAATATCACACACAAGGGTCATATTAGTGGAATTGAGACGGTGAAGCTAAGTGATCTATTACATGTTTAGAAAAGCATTAGAGAGCATTCTCAGGGTGTCTCTGCATGTTTCCAGCTGCGTTTGCCATCAACCCTCTCTGACACTGTTTATCTGGTATAGGGCCCTCTTGTATTCAGTTTCCCACTGGGCTTTACACAAACACACACACACACACACACACACTCACAGTCAAACACAGTCCCACAAACCGAGATGAGAGGCACAAGGAGAAATTTACTGTCATACAAACAAACACATACACATTCAGGATCCTGAGAAAGTGCAATGAGAGAGCAGGTGTCAGTTTTCACATGCGGCTCTCATGGGGGCTCGGAGGGTAAATATCAGCACGAGTATTTCTCCTCCTCGCATCGGTTGCTCTCACAGCCTCTGACCGCCATTCAACTCTGGACCAGGAGTCCCTCACCTGCATCGAGAGGTGGGAAAACGCCAACTCCACCGTTCTCACTGACTCATCACAACACAGAACTCCATTGATGAAACAGCCTCTATCCTATAACTAAATATGGCACTATTTAACCTCACTAATACACTCATCCAGCAAGTGTATGTTAAAATATGTGACTCTGGCATTCAGGATATTCAGGTTTTCTGTATTTAACCCAACAATAATTAAAATAACAACTGTAACTCTGATTCCACAGCTACATAAACATTGTTTCTCATGACAAACCTCAAACTAGCCAGGCAAAACACAAGACACAGCACAATCCTGTGGCGGGAAGGGCACATGTTCTGCCTCTCTGAACGTAGGCTGATTGTCAGAGTATCCTGACATGGTCTTAGATCTCATTACCAGCAGATATACGACTCTGTGCAGGAAAACAAACAGCAGCGATGTCAGTTCAACCGGATTAGCACCGAGGTGCCATGGGAAGCTGCTGAAAAGTCTGGGAACGGGGACATCTCAACTTCTCAACTCAGATCAGGTCGTGGTATCGGTGTTTCAGCTGGGGCACGAACAGCATACTGCTGCTGCACAACGCTATCCGAATAATAGACCCTATCAGCCTCCTTTCTGGTGCAGTACATGTCATATAAAGGATGTGTTGTCTCTCTTTATGACAATAGACCAATACTGTGTGAGGCTTTGATCCTGCTGGAGGGTTTGGTTTCTAGATGTCAGCCATGTTGAACATTTGTTGTGTTATGGAGACAAAAGTGTGAAATTCAAAAGGAGGAAATACAGTAAAAATTCTAATTATTAAAATAATTTCTTCTAGTTTGCAAGAAGTATTTGTAAAACATCTGTCTGCAGATTCCTTGAGGTTTCTTATGCAACCTATACACGCAACACTGAATGAAACATATGAATCCTCTTGACACTAAAAATAAGCACATTATTAAAGAGCTTCTGAGACAGCGAGACAAAAGTTACACACAATGTCGTGGTCCCGTAAATGCCAGTGACACCACACTGTCACCAAATCCTCCCCGTGCTTGCAGGCAGACACAGATGAGAGGAATACCGTTAACCAGGTAAATAGACAGCACTAACAGGTGCATGCAAACTCTCGTATGCGTACAGCACCACTGTTTGAAGACGCTCTCATTTGCGGGCCGGTGAGAATACAGTGGACACAGAGAGCCAAAACTCGGGAATCTGGTTCAGTGGTTAAAGTATGAAGACAAGCAGAAAGGGATTCATTGGAGTGAAAGATGGCATTGTTCTGGAGGCAGAATGGAACCAACCAGGTCTGATGGTTCACTCACACTCAGATGGCCTTGAGATAGAGTATGTTTGAACTGTAAGATCCTCATGTGCATATAAGAGCATTATTCACACACGCCACATGAAAGCGTTGAATATAATCCTGGCTGGATAAGACTGTCGTTCAGGTCATACCACGGTCACAAAGCGTGCGTGTGCTATTGTTTTAATGGACACGCGTATGAATGCGTGCACACTGATGTGTTTGACAAAGTGTGAAGATCTGACTGTCCGTGTCTGAATACACTGTGCACACGTGGATGCTAAGACATTTGTGACGTCCATAACTAAGTTCAGGCACTAATATACCCATTTTTCTTTGACTCGCTCACCCCCCCCCCCCCCCCCCCCCTCCACCCTTTAAACTCTGCTGCTTTGAAATGCCCCGCAGAAAACAAAGCTCCGTCCTGCTGCAGACAATAAAGCAGCTGGATTTCTGCACATGTGCCATTGTGTCGGTCTGAGGCCTTGTCATAACTCCATCGGAGGGGCCTAGACTTTCATCACGCACACACACACATGCAATAACACACACACACACACACACACGTAGACGGAAAGTCACTGGCTCGGGGAGATGGATGGCGGTGTTAACACAAAAGAATATTTGATTTGGTTATAAATACCACAACATGAAAGAAAAGCCCAGCGGGGTAAAATGCAAGAGGGCACGACAACCAGAGGAGGCAAAATCTTCATCACCATCACCATCATATATGGTGCGTCTGAAAATGAGGTTAGCGTCGTTGAGCTGTGACCGGGGCTTTCTGTCTGCTCTCTTTCATTTGATGAAGTCTCACGAGGGTAATTATTCTCAAACATTTCAGAAGTCTTTGAAATGGCCAGTGTTGTTAGAAAATGTTGCAGAATGAAGCACATCAAGAACGCTACTGATCAAAACCATAAAGTGCTTTATTATAAGTTCAGTGAATTTGGGATGTTGGGAAAGTAAGCGATTCATTATAATTGAAACAAGGATTACAAGGATTTTCTTTATGTTTATCGAAGTCAAATGACCATGACTTGACATGAACACCCAGATCTCTAAGCATCACAAAGCATTTTGTGGTGTATTCCAAGTCCACTTACACATGTGTTTGGCTCATTGTTGTTTCACTTTGATGTGTGAGCTTCACAGGAATGAGAGAGATGAAATGACACGAATCTGCCGAGGAGCGGAAAGTTTCTCTGTGCTCACCTTAAACTTTAGTTTAATCTGTGTGTGTGTGAGACTTTTTGACATCACTACTATAGTTTGTATGCCAATCGGGGTCCAATATGCAACTTGTGTAACACAAATGGGATGTGAACTCAGAGTCTCTAGTGCACATACACTGACAATCGATTGAACAGTAAAGTAGCAGACATCTTGTGTCCAGCAAACTTTAAATGTCTGCATTTTGCGGTTTCTTACTAACAATTTGTGAAATTGAACATGTGCAATTCTTGAATAAAAAAAAAAAATTGTGTCCAGCAGTTAAACTTTTGTTTCTGTTAAATAATGAATTAGTTAATTAAACAATTAAAAAAATATATATCAGGCACAAATTATTATTCAACGCAGAGTTGTTTCATTTTTTTAAACATATCTGGAGCTGGTATTTAAGTAATAATGATAATAATCTAAATAACCATATAACATTGATAATATTCATAGAGCCCTTTTAATTAAAATCAACAAAAATGACGAATAAAATCGTCAAATGTCATAATGAAACTGATAAACTGATAAAACTAACTCAAAGTGTCTGTTAATTCACTCAGCATGTTGGTTAATTCGTATTTTCTATGCAGACGTGCCGAACACAATAGTGAATTGAAACTTGGTTTCACCCTAAAATGCTGTTACTTATTCCGCAGGTCAGACGTCCCTCCCCCTCCCCCCCGTGTGAGTGGTTTAAAGTTTCACTACTCGGACTCTGATTGGCCCGTGAAGTTTTTCCGAGGGGGAATAACTTCAGAGCCCCGCGTCCCCCTGACGTTCAGCAGCCCGGAGAGTCCCGAGCAGAGAGTAGAAGGTTTAGCGGTGTTCTCTTATCTCACGCATCAGGGTAAGAGGATCCTAAACTATGGAGGTGATCAGACACAGACTCACATTTGTTTTATAGAGGGATTTTACTCGCAGATCTTTCAGCTTTGGAACTATCTTTTTCTAACATCTTCTCTTTCTTCTTCTTTTTTTTTTTGACTTCGCATCATCCGCTGTTGAAAATGCCTTGTTTCGGGGTTTGGATTAACGCAAATTGGATTTTACTTTTCGCCATTTTTGACGCGTCTTTTTCGAGCTATTCTGAAGACCAGTGCAGCTGGAGAGGCAGGCAAGTATTTGAATAGCCATTCGGGCGCAGTGAAAATGTTTCTAATGCTCTGCTGCTGCGACTGCGCCTCCGGGCTGTCTGCAGGAGGCATGGGGGGTCCAGACAGACCGGAGACTGAAGGATTCATTCTGAGACTTGGAGATAAAATAACAAAACATGTGATGCATGCATGTTGTTGAATTGAGGATACATTGTTAAAATACTTGCAGAGGACTTTGAGTTTTTACAGAAGTTTGGCCCTTAAGATGCCATGACCTGGCCCCTGTTACCACAGGCTGACAGCAAGTGGGGCCTTCTCTTGAGTAGTAGCCTGCCTCTTGATTTGCAAAAGTTCTACTTCATTTCTTTTTAAATGAAAAGTTTGGTATAAGTTGCCTGTTTGCATGGCTCACATTTAAACCAGCTGAGTCCATCCTGCAGTTAGTTCTGCAGGAAAGTGTCCACTGATGATGCTAAAGTTATTACCTGTAAAAATAGTATCTAAACCTTTATGTAACCTTGTTTTCCTCCTTTTTCCCCTTCTCACAGTGGTTTGTCCCAGCAGCAGGGCAGCGTGGAGCAGATCTCCCTCCACTGCTCTGAGGGCACACTGGACTGGCTCTATCCCAAAGGGGCCCTGCGCCTCACCCTCTCGCCCCGCCTGCCCTCTGTGGCGGTGGGGCCTGGCGGCAGCAGCTCGGGCCTCATCACGGCCTGCGTCAAGCCTTCTGAGCAGTTCCACGGAGCCCAGCTGTACCTGGAGCGAGATGGGGTCCTGGAGCTCCTGGTAGGGGACCGCCTGGAGTCCTCTCCCCCACCGAGGGTTCGCTGCTTCAGCCGCCTGCCCGGGGAACGGGTGGCTCTCTTCCTGCAAGCTACACCTCACCAGGACATCAGCAGGAGGATCGCCTCCTTTCGGTACGAGCTGAGAGGGGACTGGACCGCTCGCCTGTCGGTGGACTCCAACCCCATCAGCAGTGAAGGTGAGCAGTGAGGCAACAGTCAGCCATGTTGGTTTGAGTGTGGCTACTCGAGGTCAAATGAGGAGCCACTATTAAATGTTTTGGCTTTGATTTGTCATTCCTATCTAATGAATTAGGGGACAGAGGAAGTACAGAAGAAGTTTTGGGGTGAAACTTAATTCTCAGCATCAGAAACGAAACTCTTAAGAAAAACCACAGAACTGCGGTTAAAGTTATTTTCCTTCCTTCCTGAAAAATTTGGGGGATGCAAGGTTTTAACCCACAAGTGATGATATTACACTCCATACAATCCTCCCTGTAGATGATTCATAATTCATCACAGGTCTCTGTGGGCTGGTTGGGCTTTCCACAGCCCGTGCAGAGTGCAGAGAGAGGAAGTGGCCAAACTTCCCCCAGAGGCGTGCTGGTTTGGAGTAGGAGAAGGGGAGCCGCCGAGTGGGGAGGAGGAGAGGGGGGGGGGGGGGGGGACAAAAGCACAGTATGTGGGGCTTTCTCCAGAGTCCAGAGCCCTTTGAATGGGTGCCGCATGAGTATTCTGGGATTACTGCCGTCGCCTAGGAGACAGGGAGGCCTCTGCCCAGCTGAGATGCTCCTCTCCTTTGTTGAGCTGCCTCGCTGTAGGGAGACTTGTCTGTAGGAGTCTACTCCCCCGCTCTACATCTCTCTGCCTCCCACACACACACACACACACACACACACACACACACACACTTATTAGGCTTGGAAGGGGGTTTGCTGTGGACTAGCGAGGAAGGAATCTCATTTATCAAGTGGTTTTCACTAAGGAGGAGAATGTGAGGGGTGGGCAAGGGGCCTCCAAAGAACCACAAGGAGAACTTTAAAAAATGCCAGGACTTTTTTTTCTTTCTTTCTAGCCACAGTTTAGTCTATGCAGACAGACAGAGCTTTGCTTTGATTTTTTTTTTTGTGTGGCCATTTCTAAATCCTGTTACGACTTTGAGTAAGGTGCACCGCAATTTTTTTTCCCCCCAGTTTTTAAGAAAAGTTGTCAAGCCTTGGCAGAAAGAAAGGAGAGTGAATGTGCTCCTTTTAAAACAAAAAAAAAAAAATCTTTGAAGTCCACCCCCACTCCTTCTCCTTGGCCCCTGTCTAGCTGGCTTTGATGAGGTGTGACTGTAGACACCCTGAAAGGCTTTAAGGGGGGAACTTTCATCTGGCCTTTAAATCGTCTGGGGTGGAAGAGCCTCGCACCTTAAAGCTCCACTGGTCCTTCTTCTGCCAACTGTAAAAGTAGCAGCTGTCTGTTAGAACGTAGTGCTTGTTCTCTCCTTTTGTTGCTCGTCTTTGCACAGCGTTTTAGGTCTGGGTTCACATCTCGCATTCCTGTGCATGAGATCTGGAAATACGGTCTTTGAGTCTCAGTATATATGTGCATTAGCATATATGTGTTTTCTAGCAGTATGGAGTGCTGTGTGAGGTCACCAACTGACTCTCCCTCTTTCCTCCCCTTGTTGTCTCTCCAGAGGCCTGCAGACCCTGCAACAACACTGAGATTCTGATGGCTGTTTGCACCAGTGACTTTGGTAAGTTACCTGATACGACAAGTTGCAAATATAAAAAAAAACATGAATGAAATATCATTGTCAGACAGAAATCCACCCCTCTAATTCAGCCCAGATCAACAAATTAAACCAGACCCGAGCAAAGCCTCAGAACATAATGATTTCTTGTCGGGATCTACAAATGTGTCGAATGGGTTCAAAGGCAGAGCACCCCAGTGCCTCCAAATTCTCTCCTCTCAAAAGTGCAAAGGTTAAAGGTGAAACAGCAGCTCTCTGCAACCCCCAACACACACACACACGAACCCCTACTGGACGCACTGTAGTGGACTAATCCTGACATCACCCCCCGATACAAGGAGCAGTGGACTAATCTGCAGGCCTCTGATTGAGCTGTAATGGCACTGAGGAGAAGTTCAGCTGGCAACAAAAGTCAGAGGGATTAGTGAGCAGGCGTGGGCCTTCGTAAGGCGTTTAAACATCAGTTGGTGGTCAACAAAGAATCTCCCAACTAGCTACAATAGGCCTACAAAACGCACAACATGACAAAAATACAGCGTAACACTTTGTAAGTTAACAAGAAAAGATATTAACCCGAATGTCCTGTTTTTCCACAGTTGTGCGAGGTAACATCCGATCAGTGGCGGAAGACGATAACCTGAGAGCAGCGGTGATCAAAGTCAGCGCCACCCGGGTGTTTCGGCAGAAGTACGCCCTGTTTACCGGCAACGGTCGCCTGACCAGGCGGGGGGAGGTCAGGACTCTGCTGCAGTGTGGTGTCAAACCGGGGCCCGGCAGCTTCCTCTTCACGGGTCGGGTCCACTTTGGGGAGGCCTGGTTGGGCTGCGCTCCCCGCTACAAGGACTTCCAGCAGGCTTACACCATCGCCAAAGCAGCCCAGCAGATACCCTGCGAACTGCCTGTCGACTGAGTTTAAAAACTCGGCGGCAGCTTGTCTACTAGCACTCAAGAGTCGAGGCCGTACCGAAAGCCGGGCCAAACTCAGCTCTGTTCCATAGTTTTGGAAGAAGCCATGGTGTCCCAACTGTTGGCCGATGCGGCCATGGAGCCACCAACGACTTCCCAAAGGTCTGAGGAGTGAAATGGACTCCCCCCCCCCCCCAAACACCATTTCAGTGCAATATGCATTCACCGGGTCAGAAAGAACCTGGTGGAGTTGTGACACGAGGGACGTGCTTCTAATGAAGATTATAAGCATTTGGCATTGGACATGTTTTTACACACAGTGATGCTATTATGCAGGTTCAGAGAAAATCTATTGAAAAGCTTTCCATTCGGGATAAATTAAGTCAAGCCATTAATTCAGGCCTATTGAGAGTCATTGCTTTGAAAATACACTCAGGAAAATGTATTAAAAGTTCTATAGAAAGCGTACTGCCTCGGTATCCCAGTGAGGATACAATTAAGGCACCTATTTGTTCAGTGAAAGTCGGGTCATGGGAAAGTTATTTTTTGCTGGCTACCCGTGTACTGGGGGGGGGGGGGGGGTCATCCTCAGTGTTACTATTATTAATTAAAGAGATTATAAAAAAAAAAAAAAGTCCTCACAAAATGGAAAAAAATATATATTTGCACTGATAACGGAAAGGGAATGATCTGGAAAGTGTGATGCTGCAAGCACTGGAAACCAAATAAAAAAGCAACTATATGTAGCATAGCGGAGCAATTGAGAAGTTAATATATGTACAGACGATGTGAGCACGTGCAGTAGCGACACAAAGCTACGGCTACTAGAGCAGGTTTCACAGCTCAAGCTATAGTGCTGAGAGCACTTTCACATGCTAGCCAACTCTGAGATTTTGCTTCTGTATTACAGTACATTTTAGTAGCCATGCAATATTTCTGCAAAACTGAGCTAATTAGACTGCATTTGGTTTAAAAAAAAAAAAAAAAAAGAATTATCTAAAAATATGTTGGAGTGGAATTGCAGCAGTGTTGCCAAAGTGGTTCTGAGTTTTGTTGCTTCCAAGTCGTTCTCTGCTGATGTTGTCACATATTATCACACAAGATATTCAACTGTGTATCACCGCTAATGCTCATAAAACTGTCGACAACAGTCATTTATAACTTAAGTCCAGTGTTGTTATAAGATATAAAAAGCTAGCTCAAGAGAAACACAAAAATATGCATTCAGTGTTAAAAAAGAAGAAAGATTCATATCTAATGTGCACTATATCAACAAGGGGAGGTGTTCATACCAAATTACCGTAATATGCTGAAGTGGTCTTAAATGTGTACACTGCCATTTTTGCTGTTTATTTCTATGTAAATTTATGTTAATAACAATGCGAATGTAAATATGTTTATAAGAAATTCTAGAAACCACAGCATGAAAAAAAAGTCTGTATAAAAAAAAAAAAAAAAGCATTGTATTGTGGATTATTTTTGTGTTTGTCTGTGTTATTAAAATATACTGTGAGAAAACACTCATGTATTTAAGTTCTTCTGGAAGCCTTTTCTTGTATATATTCACTTTGAAGTCATTCTTTGGGCATTTCATGCTCCACAAACATTGTGCAGCTGGATCATTAATTCATCAGCACTCCAACCCTCTCCACCCTAACACATCAATACAGTTTAACCCACACCATAGTAGTTGGGTCCAAAGGTTTGTGGCATGGCAAACTTTTCTCAGACATAAGTCACTTCCAAGTATCCATGAATCAGATCTCTGAAAGCTCCGAAACAAACGGCGCGCCTGAGAGAGCGAGAGGCCTAAAAGGCGGAGAGATTTAAGGAGTGTTCGGGGCCCAGAGGGCGTTTTTGGACGGGGAAGGAGGTAGAAAACAGCGTTTGGAATTCTGTTGTCCTCGGCCTCCCATTTTCAGGATTCAGGAAGCAATAAATTGCCATTAAAGGGAGCGGTGTGGCAGACTCGGCTGAGCTGAGGTGCCACACAGTCGCTCGCTTTATCCTGACCGCATGTGTGCGAGGACACAATAAAACCAAATCTCCTTTACACGTCACTTAAGACGTGCGCCTTCAGCTTGGAGCTAAAGTTGGTTTCCTGTACCTCCACTTTGATTTTATCTGCAGCACCACAGACCATAGCTGTTGCCCATTTTCTGCTCTAACGGACGAGGAGCTGCACGGTAGACAATATAGAAACAGCCATATTGCTGATCCTCTATGATAAATTCACCACCTGTTTCTCCTCCTCGCAGAATTCTGCACACACCTCAGTCAAATCTCTGAATTACTGCACACAGTAAATCCGCTTAGAAAAAGAGCAGCTGGGGAATTTACATGGTGTTTAGGTTAAATGGGGGGAAAAAAAGAAAATTCACAAAAGCTCGACATGCCTTCCATGTCTGGTGAGCCATCTCCCATAGAAACCCTGACAGTGGTTTGCCACCGCATCAGCAGTTCATGTGAGTGAACTTCCAACCTCTCTAGCTATTTACTGCCTCAGTGCTCCTTTAAAACATCCCGTAGCTGGGGCCCCCGAGCTGCTCGGGCCCTGCAAACACACACACACACACACACACACACACACACATATACACCTCCACCCCCTCCCCTCCAGTACATGTGAGGTTACTGCTGCAGGGCTGATAAGCCAAAACAAAGAGCACTCAAATTATACTCCAACGACTAATACATCATGTGACATTCTGACAAAGCTCAACTTCCTGCATTGTTATCACTTCTTTGTGACCCCAGTTTGAACCCCCAAAACTGCAGTAATAATGTCAGTAATAATGGTCACAATGACACAGTGCCACGGTTTAGTTTTGCACTCGTTAAATAATAGCGATGGCAATTGCCATTGTTTAAATGTAAGCACAGTGCACAATCCAAATAAAACTTTGGGAACAGAAAAAAAAGAGTTTCTTCCTCAAGACCCTGGAAACGTATTTTTGCACGTATTGATAATTGCATGACACACAATAAACCTTCCTCCCCCCCCCCCAACCACCCCACTCTTGTTTATAGTCTGTTCAGATGTGTTGTGGAGGTGAGCTATGGACACGGCGAGGCGGGGAGCACTCAAGAAAGGGGAATCCAAGGCAATGGGAGAGAGAGAGGGGCAGGGTGTGGACTTCCGTCAGCCCCTGGGAGAGTTTGAGGGAAGTGGCTGGAGACAAAGCTCCAGAGATGAGAGCACATGACAGGGGCAAAGTGCTCCTGGACACTCCCTCATTGTCCAGCACAGAAAAACACCACACCCAGCACACAAGCCCTGTGTTTGCAGCAGTAACATTGCAAAAAATCAGGCTCCTCCTGTCTCAAAGCGATGCAGAAAAATGAGTTCATGCATTTGTTACTTCTAGACTAGATTACTGCAAATTCCTTATTATCAGGCTGCTCGAATACTTCTCTGGAATCTCTCCAGTTGATCCAGAATGCTGCAGCTTGTGTACTAACACAAAATAAAACATCATGTTACTCCTGTATTAGCTTCTCTGCACTGACTCCCTGTAAAATCAAGAATATATTTTAAAATCCTCCCTCCTCTTCACCTACAAAGCCCTAATCGGCCAGGCACCATCACATCTTAAAGAGCTTATTGTACCATATTACCTCAAGAGAGAGCTGCGCTCCCAGAATGCAGAGTTACTTCTGGTTCATAGAGTCTTAAAAAGTAGGATGGGAGCCAGAGCCTTCAGTTATCAAGCTCCTCTTCTGTGGAACCAGCTTCCACTTCCAGTCTGGGGGGCAGACACACTCACCACATTTAAGAGTAAGATAAAGACTTTACTTTTTGATAGTAGAGTCTTTATCCTACTATAGTTTTGTTCAGGTTTGCCTTGGTTCAGCCCTTATATATGCTGCTATAGGCCTAGACTGCTGGGGGACTTCCTAGGATACTCTGAGCTCCTCTCTCCTCTTCTTTCCCTCCTTGTGTATGAATTCATGTCCCATTAACGCTCATTACTAACTTTTCTTCTTCCTTGGAGTCTTTGTGCTTTCTCGCCTCGCAGGTTTCCATGGATCGTGGTTATATCTGGACTGTGGTCGTGCCTCCTGTCATGGCCCTGCTGACACCCACTGCTACTACTATTATTATTATTAGTCACATCCCTGATACCATTTTTCCTGTTCCGATGCAAAGGGTCCTGGAACAGAGGATGTCGTATGCCGTACAGATTGTAAAGCCCTCTGAGACAAATTTGTGATTTTGGGCAATATAAATATTCCGTCACCTGGATCTCTCTCAACTAAATCCATCTTTTCATGGCTTCATCATCTAATCTTTCCCACAGCTTGGTCAACAGCTGCTGTTCTGGATCCAAAACAGGGGTTGCCAGACACATGAAGCACAGCTTCTACATGAACTATATTAGTAAGTACTGAAGAATAAACAGCTGTGGATTTCATCAGGCTTTTTTTCCCCACATAAACAAATAACTTTGCCATACTGGTAACCCAACATTCCGCCGAGTTGTCTGTCCACCAGTGACTCAGTGGTTGTGCATCCTGCTGCCTCTCCATCAGCTCAGCACCAGCTGACAATGAGCCTGAAGTCCTTGACCACCCTTTGGCATCCCAGATTCCCAGCTGACAATTTCTTGTTCCCATAACACCCTCGCACAGCTGGGAGTGATGATTCCCAAATGGAAACTGTGACCGTACCCATCTGAGAACACGCTAACTCGCTAAAACAACATCTTATCAGGCCAGCAATGAGCAATTTGCAAAAACTGATGAGAAGCCTTTATTCACAGAGCAGAGGGAGGGCAGCAGAGAATAACGTGGCCGGCTTTAAAGTTGAGTGGGCAGTTTGGCTGGGGTTGAGAGGTCACGGCAGAATAGAGAACAAGTGTAGAGCGGTGCAAGAGCATGTTTATCTGGCCATGTTATCCTTCTGAAGTAGTGAAGGGAGGAGAGCGAGGAGCCCCCTTTGTTCCTCAAGAGCCTGCAGATGGCTGTAATCCCTTCCAAAAAATGCGCACTGAAAATCAATCAAGACAGGGTGGACATGGTGTATGAGTGTGTGGAGGCGGGCGACACTTTTGTCAGGGAGGGGGTCCCGCAAAGAAACACAAGTTGGGTCAAACAAGCGTCTTTGGCGCTTTCCCGCCAAAAAAAAGTATTGTAAGGAAAGACCGAGGGAATGAATTGCGACCCCCTTCAATGAAGGCCCGCTCGCTATACCCCTCCATTTGAGCTGAATACAGCTGCCATCACCTCACCGTATCCTGGTGCCGGCAGGGGGTACAACCACAAAAACCTCCAAACACTGACATCATACTCTAATAAGGCTACTTAGAGACATTCACTGTGGCAGGATGAGGGGAAACATGCTCACATAGAAGCAAATAGATGGACAGACAGACAGATAGATGCGGATGGTTAACAGGTATGTTTACCATGTTAACTACTATAGTTCAACATGTTAGCATGTTGGCTGATTTGTCCATTCGCTAAACACAAAAGTACTGCAGAGGCTGATGGGAATTCCATTAGTTTTGTAGGTATTTTGGGATAAATGAAAGTGCTGGACAAATTTAAATGTTGACCTGATTATGGTGCTAGATTTAAAATTAGGGGTTACAATTGATCCTGAGTTAGATTTGTATGCCTGTAGCTAATTAGTTTGGCAATCCATCCAATATCTGTAGAAACAAGTCATCAAAAAACTAAAATGTGAACCCGATGATGATTCTATCAGAAAAAACAAGGGATCACCAAAGTCAACAGGATTCATCCTCAGGGGACCATGAATATCATTACAAAATGTCCTCGCAATCCATCCAATACTTGTTGAGACGTTTCAGTCTGGACCAACACCTATTCTAAAATATGATCATTTTCTGAGAACAACAAAGATTTTCCTGCATTTCATCCTGTGCTAAAACCCTCGTCTGTAAACAGAACTCTTTGTAACACAATGATTCTAGAATGTTCTGTCTAACTTCCTCATGCGACCGACGTCAGGCCTCTAGACTGAGAGTCTGCTCACTACAAGGAGGCACAGCTGTCTTTGGAAGGGCTCTCCAACCCTGCCAATTAACCACAAGGATTATGGTTTTCTGACAAAACCAGTCTGATTGTCTAAACAAAGCAGAGAAACCTCCCCGGCAGATCAGTTCTGTTCTTCTCTTCCTATACCAACCACCTGTGTGTTTCTCCCATCTAATCCTGCAGAACCACCTCCCCTTTCGTTTCATTTTATTGCCTGTTATCTTGCTCCTCTAGTCATCTTGGGTTACCTCCTCAGGGACATATTGCACTGTTCCTATTGTTCAAATTGTTTATGGAAAGAGGTAGGCAGGAACGAAACTGCCACTCACATTGGTTTTGTTATGTTACTAGTATCCCCTTCCATTTTTCTTCTGCAAAACACAGCTTCAGGGCAAGATTTGTCAACAGACACGCCTGGTGCGCTGTGTTGCAAAACACGTGATGGTATTGAATAGCGCTCACACTTGTGCAGATGTTAATTTGTTAGTATTAAAGAAAAAAATGCGAAAGATACCCAGCCAGCCAGCAAACTAACTGCTTTAACCAGCGTGAGAGTGTTTAAGTTTTTTTTTCCTTTTAGCATTCTTGAAAAAGAACCTTAAAGGAACATACTACTCCTATGGCACAATATGCC